GCTGCTTGTATACAAATATAACGACAATGAAAAATTTCAAAATTAGCTTCGAGTGCAGAATAGTGGAATGTAATAAATATGGTGATGATGGTATTTATTAAACGACATTATTAAAAAAATCGTTCTGCACATTTTCTCACCTTTGTATCACGTAACCAACTCCATAAAATAAATTATTTTGCGGAACTCCACTGACAAATCGTATGATAATTTATGTTAATTACAATAGGCGGACGCGCATAGTCGGCTGTATTAGAACCCTACTTAGAAATGACATTGCGAAACACAACATCATTACATCATGCGGGAATTTGCTTCTACTGGGTCTGAATATCCCATGTCGCGCACGCGCACACACACGGTAGCATAACGCTTACCTCACCATGTCACGTAATAAGCATGTTGATGACTCACGTGGTCGCGACGAATCCATGTAATATCCACGTATGATATGATATTTCTTCGCGTATCGTCGACACGCCTAATTATAATAAATATTGTCTGGAAAGTCCAGTTGACGTTGATTGAGTCTGACGCGTGGATTCTACCTATTTCTACGATAAATCACCATGTCATCTCGTAGAATTCGTATATTAATATAGCAATAAGAACAAACTGACAACATATATTAACATCAACCGTTGCAAGATATGAAGAATGTCTAGTTAGCTTGGCGGGCGGTCATTCACATTGCTTCTTGTCTCACGAGTAATTATCTTTATGGGCATAGAAATGCATGTTCGTGCTCCCGTCACTTCAAATTACTGTTCTTCTTCAATAATAGATATGCAAGGCGCATCCAATTTAGCGCCGTAGTGTACAAGAGGCCCATATAGACGTATATTCATATTATCACCCACCCCATTAAATGGATTACACGGAGAGTTGAATTGTCAGTCACGGCGTGAATTATTCCAGATTCGCGATGTATGAATGTCAGGGGGATTTACTCACAGTTTATCGAGATAGGTACGCGATTATAGATTAACACTCTGGCGTCGAAATTGAATTGTATCTCTTTATAAGAAAAGCATGTGGCAACAAGCTCACGGGAAATACATCTTTAGAGCCGAGTAGCGATGAACAAGTTTTAGTAATCAACCAGCTAGCTAGAAAGCTAAACCCCGGATGATATGATAGAGGCAATACATAGTATTAGAGACAAAACTTGGCTCAGTTTGTCTTTGGAGAACTCTGATGGAATCTGATCACACTCGAGGTAAAAAGAATTACAGTATACGCTTGGTTGGGATTTCTCGTCTTGTTATTTGACTTGGAATATAATATCCGTCAAATACTGCCCGACACACATTTGACCCTACATTCAAGATTATAGATCTCATTTATTTGTCTGAAGGATTTACTTATATTTGAATTGCACAGACTGAATGAAATGAAATTGAGCTGGCTTCTCATACCTACTCGGCAGTGTGTACTACACTCATATGTACATTTCACAATAATACAATCATGGGTAAAGAGGGGGGAAATTCGATAAAAGCAATAACTGACGTTTCCACGGCGCAGTTATATATGTCCATATATTTAACGCTGCAATCAATCACAACACTTTTCTCTGTTTGCAGTGTAAATATAGCATCGATTATTTGCGCACGTTGTACAGCATAAAATATTTCCACGGTATAAAGCGTTCATTGACGATTTAATGGTGGTAAATCGATGAACATTTTTATTCCAATACGCCATACATATATTATGTTTTATAATTCATACCGGACTCCACTATGATATACACTATAACAAGTCTCCGAACGATTACGCCGTGGTGCGACCAGGCTAAGTGAGCACCGAGACCAGCTTAATAGTATTCTAACATTGCGATTCTAATGATAACTATACATCAACGCTTACAGCCATTTCAATTAGAGTATCTGTAAATCGATTATGCATCTCTGTCTCGTTACAAACACTAGGATAGTAATTGTGTTTAGGAATTCGCACGAAGTAGACATTACGCCTAATGCTGTAACTGACAGTGCAAAGTGATGATTTCTTTCTAATATATAATCGGTTATCGTTGTACACCTGCCCGATACGTAATACTGTTAGGTGAATTGGATGTGTTGACGAGGCATCTGCAAAGCAGAGAGATTCAAATTTTCAGTTTATCTTGTATATTCGACTGAATGGGGTGGTTATTACTATTATATCTACCGGGACTCATTGTAACTGGTGCCTCATATTATTTGTACCTGAAATTTGAACTAGGGGATGCAAATTACAAACATCTTTATCAGGGATTCGAATATTTTTTAATACTATTTATTCATCAAAATTGTTTTTATTAAATTAATTTACAGCCTTGTTACTGGAAAGTTACTTATAATATGTAGGTTTCCATGGACCATAATGAAACAAATTTCGTCATTGAACTCCCGCTGAAAATATTGTCACTTTTGTTATACTTCTAGAAATGGACATTACATGATTACGAGACATTATATACAATTTTTTCATATTGAGATATGCCCCTGTCTTAGTAAGCAATGGTAAAATGCCAGACAAAACATGCTATTTTCATTCCATTCCATTTCGTTTTTTCCTTCATTTCATTTTCTTAATCCTTATTCCATTAACGAGCACAAACGTAAAAACTTTGTCGAGTGTACAGTGCTCACGAACCTGCTTCCCTACACCCCAACGTCCGCGCGAGGGCGTCGCACTCTTCACAAGTATTGACACGATTATATCTTCCAACCAGAGATTCTGCATTAT